AGGAGACAATCCTTGGTAAAAGCTTTAGAACACACCAACCATGTGACCTTAAGACTTAACAGGACAACAAAGGCTCATTTGGTTTTCTAAGGACCAAGTGAAATTTCAAACACACACACACACACACAAATCATAAATTGAGGCGTGAACATGGTTTATGCATATAAATAAATGAATTAAAATGCAGCTTATGTTTAAAATCATTTAAAATGTGTTCATAAATTAGTGACTAGTATTTTCTAAGCCTTTCAATGAGCCCACATTTTAAAACTACATTATGTGCATCAATTAAACATATATTTATGTATTATATATATTAAACTGCAGAGTATGTGAAAAGAACATGAAAGCAGAATTATTTCCTTACCGTGTGTATAACAGAGGGGGTGCAGCACTAGTGGGGCCCTCAGAGGACAACTTTTGTGGGGTTGGTTTTCTCCTTCTACCTGTACTTGGGCTCCAGGGATTATATTCAGGTCCTCAAATGCAAATGCCTTTACCCACTGGGCTATCTTGCTGGTCCCATAAATTATTATTTTTTTAATTAAGGTAAATTGTATAAAATCTCAAGCCACTTTCTGTCAAGATTATCTGAGGACCTGAGAATTTAATGACCCTTCATTTTTGGAGATTAAAAAAAAAAAATCTCAATAGGTCAGCTGCCAGAATTTTTTCTTTCCCCTTTTTAAAAGTGCTATTGGCTTAACAGAAGTGACAGAACTACATTTACACATGAAAATGACTAAAAAAATGAAACTACTAGATTTTATATATAATCCTCAATTTCGCACCACAGCTCTGGGTGAACTGGTGCCAACTCCAATTTTGACCCATCACCACTTATGATTCCCAGAACAATCACAAGCCAGTTCCTCCTCCCTCAGACCACAAGTCTGGGGAATAATGAGAGCTCATTAAAGTTCTCCAACTGACAGCCCTTCAGCTGTAGGTTTTTAAACTACAGGCACATGAGGAGCCAAAGACCCGTATCCCTGGTCTCGTCAAGGGGATTTAAGTCATTACACGCTCACGTTTGCTCCACCTCAGTCTCTGTCTACCCAAAGTCAATGACAAAGCACTATCTCCACTGCCACCCACATTTCATTTGTATGTGAACTGCTTCTGAATTATGTCACTGAAATCCACTCTGCACAAGAACTAGTGAAGAGTGGGGAAAGCAGCCAGACTTCAAAGACATGTTATGTTCCCACAAAGTACACAGCACATCTACAAACTACTTGGTGATATGGGACAGCTTAGGGCCTGTCTAGCATCAATACCTCATTCTTCCTGTAACAGGAATCTGTCACCAACCCCCATTAAATATGATCTTGGAGAAAAAGAGTCTCAATCCAGGGTGCCTTTTCCCCACTTATACAAGGTTTGAGCGAGCAACCCTGGAACAGTAACTGTCCTGGGACCTGTAACTTGTATACAGAAATGAGGACCAACTTTCAAACTAATGCAGCACTCACCTGAAGGAGCTTCTCGGCTGTGCCAAGTCTACCCAAACCCGGAGAGCTCTATTTGTTGCTGACCTTTACCAAGGTACCATGATTTGGCTTTTTCTTTTTTTGTTTTGTTTTTTGGAGACAGGGTCTCTCTATAGCCCCAGCTGGCCTGGAATACATTATGTAGAACAGGCTGGCCTGCATCTCATCCACCTGAGTCTGCCTCCTGAGTGCTGGGATTAAAGGTATGCACACCTGGTGTGGTTTGAGCTTATCCACATATATCCAAGTAACTTTCTTGTCCTGAACTAAACTGCTTGGATAGCTTAAAGTAGATAGTTTTGCATCTTCTGTTTGCAATCAAAGAACATTATTCACAACATCACACATTTACAAAGTCTCACAAACAGATCAAGCATCACCGTCTCCATTTTGACCGGACACAGGCTCTAGACCATAGAACAAGAACACGGAAGTCATATAGGCCGTATCCCAGCAGCCTGCAGCCAGAATGCTATTCCTGAAGGAAGGGGTGCACAGACCTAAGGAAGTGAGCAAAAGCAACTTTTGCATAGAAAGTTCTCTTAATGTTACATGCTTAGCTGAGCACTGGATAAGGAATGTAGTCTCAAAAGGAAAACCAGAGTCTCAAATATGTCTTTTATTTATACCAAGTTCATGTTTTAAAAGAATACTTCCAATTATTGAAGTGATCTTCTAAGCCTTGGATCTCCCTGCCTTTGTCCTTCAGGGGAAAAAAAGTCTAGTGCTCACATCAAGTAAAATACCATTAATGACAGTGTCTACCTAGAACTTCAGGAAAATCATCTGTTCCTACCCACTAAAGAAGAAAACAAAATTGAACAGGCTTCCCCCATCTCTTGATTCTCAGGGCCCTCAGGGCTCTTCTAGAGACTCACCAGTTCACTCCTCACTTCATGCAACGAGTTCACCATTACATTTCTCCAATCAGGAGTCCGAAGGGGGGAAAACAGGAAGTGTGAAATTGTAGCAAAAAGCATTAAGAACATGATTGCATCAGTCCACACTCCTTCTAACAAATGTGCATCTATTACAACAGGCATGTCTTTTCAGGAGGACACAGCCTAGAGAAACAAAGGCACAACAGCAGTATAGCCACATGATAAAGAACCATGTCAAAACTGTACATAAAGTGCACCCATGTGCAGAGAAGAGCAAAACCAAACTCTAAGATTTTAAATGGGGATGAGAGAAACATAGCAGTGCTCAGAGAGGCATCACCCTGTGGGTGACGGGAAGAGGGCACGACTCCTAAAAACTCATCAAAAGCAGCAGGACCATTTCATGAAAACCAAAGGACTTGTCTTCAACCATTCGTTCTAACGAAAGCTAACAGGTCACTCATTAACAAAATTACCACGCATTGAAAGGAAGAAAAAAAAAGGCCTTTAATACACTGGTATGGCAGTATGCAGTCTTTCCACATTGGCTCAAAGCTGGAATCACAACTGACTCATTGAAACACAATTACAAAATGCTGGTATCAGTTATATGAAAGGAAAAAAGATGTGACATTTTCAGTGTTGTACAACAGTTTTTTCCTCAACAAAAACAATCTAGAACTATGCATAGCTGCAAAACACATACACACAAACACACCCCCTACCACTTATAAAAAAACTGAAGTCGCTGTAATACATATATAAATTTCAACCATTACTATCCTAATATTGTGACTGGATTAAAAATGCATAAGCAATTTGGCAGCACAGAGAAACAGCTGATGGTGTAATGACAACATCCCTGGAGCTAAAGCCAGAAGATCCTGGGTCACATAAGCTGTGTGGCCTTGAACCAACCATATCCTGCTGTGTTTCCCGGTTCCTCGTCCATTGATAAATTCTACCCCTTCCTAGGGTCACTGTGAATAATTCAAACAGCATACCACTAAAGTTTGTTTTTCATTTTCCCTTCCTGTCCATAAAGTAATGAGACTTCTCCCTATGGAACTAGACTTTATTGCTTTGTAATTATGATGTGCTTGTAACAATGTCTAAGAAACTAGATGGTAAATAACACCAACATGCAAGCCTGAATGCACACAGTTGGCTATCACTGAGATCCCAAAGGGCTCTAACACACTATCTATTCTGTCCTAGAAATACTGCACATTTTCTTTTCTGAATATAGCCAGAATTATCCCCCAGCTTTGAAATCTCACCACCGTGATGCTGCAAGGAGCAGCTGGTTGACTGAAAGCAACTTACCCTCCCCCACTCCAGCTGTCACCAGGAAACCCTCCTCAATGTGTAGCAGACAATGTAATATTACTACTACTACTACTAACAATCTAACAAATGCTTAGTATTGGGGGTTATTTTTCTTAGGAACTCATTAACTAGAAATTAAGTCTTAAAAAAAAAGAAAAAAAAACCCTCATGTTACCATATGAATGCAAACCAGATGCTTTCATACAACAAAACCCATAGATGACACAAGTATTACTGCCCTTTTCTCCTTGTTTCTCTGCCCCAGTCATTTGATACTGAACAGTTAAAACACTAAACAGCTTTTAATGATGATACAGCTGTCACAATGTAAGACAGATTTTAAAAAGCTGTTTTTTAAAAAAACTGCAGGATATGGTAGCACAGAACTTTAATCCGAGCACTCCTGAGGGATCTCTGTGAGAAGGCCAGCCTGGTCTACAAAGCAAGTTCCAGGGTAGCTGGGGCCGTCTCAAAAGAAGAAAATAAACCGAAAAGAAAATGTCTAAAAACTCTGCAGAAAATCCTATTTCTGTAAAATACGGGTTGGACTGAAGGTTGTATTGATTTAGAAAAAAAGACTCAGGCCCGTGCAAAAGAACCCAGAACCCAGACATGGTGGCCTGGCTGAAAACTCTCCAGGAGAGGTCCGTGGATCCAAAGCACTAGATTGTTAACGCCATGAAATTTAAGGTATAGTGCATGCTCTGAGGTTTTCTATCCAAGTCAGTTTAATATTCTAATTCTTAGGTTCCCAGAAGGCCAAAATATTTTAAACTACCCTAACATGATTTCTAATGTTATTTTCTAAAATACTACACCTTTTGCCAAAATTAGTATTTGTACATATTACTGTGACTTTCTCGTTTTCTTTTGATTTTTTTTTTTTTTGCACAGGGTCTCACTATATATCCCAAGCTGGACTGCAACTTGTGATTTCTCCTGTCTCGGCCTCCTGAGTGCTAGAATTGCAGATGTGAGCCAACACATCCAGCTACTAAGTCTGACCTTATTTAAACTTTCACTATTCAAAATATAACTGAGATAAAATAAGTCAACGGATAAAAGGTCCTCTAAACAAATGGTGACAACCTTGCCCTACAGTCCTAGCTAACCCTACAAAGTACCCTTCCTTCACCATCTATTTGCCTCATTCAACTTAGGCACACCTCACCTCTGGTGGTCTGTGCCACTCTTCTGTTCTCACCTGGCATACTCACAGCATTATGAAGTCACAGTTAAATGACTTGTCCAACGCTCTGCATCTAGAAAACACCTCACCTCATTCAAACCCCATTACCTGTGACTCCACAACAGTTCTGTCCGGCACTGCTAAGCTTTAGCACCCATGGAGGCTTGCTAAAACAATTTGATTCCATAAATCTCGGCTAAGACCCCGATATCTGTTTTCCAATAAATCCCGGGTGCTGCTGATGCTGGCAGACAACTCAGGAACCAAAGCACTGCTGTTGAGGTGGATCTGCTTTCCCACGCTGTGCTGGAACACCAGAACGCTAAAAGTATAAACAGCAACAGAAAGTGGAAGATGGCAAAGAAAGTAATGTGAAGGAAAGAGGAATAATTTACACAAAATAAGAGAGACTGAGAGATAAAAAAGAGATGGGGGGGTGGAATCTGGGTGACACGAACCTATTAAAAGGGCTTTAGGTAGGCACAGCCTGACAACTGAATCTTAACCACGCAACAATTCCATATTAACCGTAAGTATTCAAAAAGAACACAGATTCAAGTGATGCGAATTCTTTGGGCAGAAAGGAGCCGAATTCCCTGAGATAGTGTATTTCTGTCCTCTATCAATGGAAGACCAAGGCTTGAGTTCGGGTTGGGTAGGCGGCACCCTGGAGACACGGAAGTGACTGTCCTTCCAGGACTTCAGACGCGGCAAAGTGGCGGAAGCAACTTGGCCTCCAACTAAGGACTCCCCCAGAGCCCCGGAGCACAGCGCGCCCCTCCAGCTCTTGCGCCCGGGGACTCGCCTGCAGCCTCCGCGGGCGAGGGGACCCAGGCCCGACCTCCGCCCCGCCCGACCTCGGATCTCCGCCCCATCCAAGCCCCGACCGCGGCCCCCGCCCCGCGCCACACCGGCCGCCCACCGCCCTGCGCAGCGGCGAGTAGGACGCCACGCATCAGCAACGCCGCGAATCCGGCAGAATAGACAGGGAAACTCACGCTCTCTAAATCCCGCTGCGTCCCCACGTCTCCGCGCGTATTGCGTCAACACGCAAGGACGCGGATTCCCGAGGCGCCCACTTCCCGCTTGGACTCGGATTCTGGACGCTCCACTTCCTGCGGTTGTGGAGCGGACGCTGCCGGCTGCGCATGCTCAGTGGCCTGCGGCCCGCGCTCTGGTTTCTCCTTCCTGTTCCCCGGGCTCATCCTAGCGTCCTCAGAACAGAGGGTGACGATACGCTATGAATAACCAGTGGCGGGGTACCACGTGCGGAGGCGAGGTCCGGTCCGCGCCCCGCGGCAGGCCCAGGCCGGCCCAGGCGGAGGATGCCCGCTTCCGGCCCGAGCAGCCTGAGCTGCCTCAAGACTCACTGGCCGGCCGAGTGGACTGCGTGGAAAAGTTGCCCTGCAGCGCGAGGCCACGCGTGCATCCCCGTCCCAGGCCAGCGTCCGGCTCTTGAGGGGCTTGGGGTGCTAGGTACTTGCGTCCCGGGGGCGTCTAATGCGCTTTGCATTCTGCTTCCAGTTTGGAAGCAGTCCCGGGTGGGCCTAGGCGCCTGTTTCAGCTCCCTGCAAGGTTGTATGGATTTCACATGAGCAACTGTCTTTGTCATACATATTTCTAATAACTAGAGGAAAGATGCGCAGTTAGTAAAAATGATAACGATAAGTTGAGTTGGGTGCGGTGAAGTGTGCCTTTAGTCTTTCAACACTCCAGAGACAGGCAGGTGGATCTCTTGAGAACCAGGTCAGTCTGGTCTATGTAGTAAGTTCTACGCCGACTGGGGCCACAGAGTTACTTGTTAAAAATAAGAAGGCTGGAGGGATAGCACAGCCTAATGGCTAAAGCTAACAACCAAAATATGAGGGAAAAAAACCCCACAAATACATAAATAACTAAATAAAAATTTAAAAGATGTTGATCAGAGACCAACAATGAGACACTATTCCTTGAAATGAAATGGAAACTCAAGTGAAGGGGGGGGGTGTCATCTACCTATAGAAATGTATTTTCTTAGAAAAAAATAAATGTAATTTCTCAAAAGGGAGTCCCCATGTATTCTTCTGATCCATGATCCTAAACATCTTGTTAATACTAGTCCTTTTTAAGAGTCCCACAAATCAAGTCTCAGTAATTTCATAAAAGTGCATTTATATATAGGGTTTCAGAGTATGTCTAGGGAGCAGGGTGTGGTGGCACCCCAATTAATCCCAGCACTTTGAAGGTTAAAGGCAGGAAGATGGAGTTCACTGCCAGCGTAAAGCTACTTGAGTCCTTGTCAGGATAAAACATTCTAGTTTTAAATGTAAACAAACTTTGTAGACAATTAAGACAGTTGGGGGAAAAAAATGTGACCTTGCCAAGCATGGTGGTGCACATCTGTATTCCCAGGACTTGGAAGGAGTGACAGGATTATCAGAATTCAGGTCACCCTCCACTACATATCACATCTTAGGTGACCCTCGCCACATGAGACAAGTCTTAAACCTCTTTTACCCTATAAGGAATGATTTGTTGAACAGACTAGATTTTTTTCAAAGTTCCCATTTATCACAAGCTCACATCTCACTTGTCAAACCACTGGGTAATAATTTCATATGTTAATCAGTAACATGGGCCAGTCAGTAGAATCCTTTAAGCAAGACTTGAAAATATTGAAGAATTAGTGCCAGAAGTCCTTTACCATAAAAAAACCCCAAACAATTGTTACCTTACTTGTAAAATGATTCCTGAATTCTCAAATAGTTTATTTTAGTAGTCAGAAAAGACATCAGTATGCACAGTCCATTTACTATATGTTCCATATTTAGGGTCTAAAATGCATTTTTTAATTGTATCTAAGGCTTCATGGAGAGACAGTTCCTAGGATTAACCCAATTGACTCAAACTGCTTTTCATAAAATGTGCTTACATTCAAACAGGGACTTGTGGTTAATGACCTTTGTACAGTTCATAAATCAAGGATGGGAACCAAAAGGAAGATTGGTAAGTAGTACCAGCTTTCAAAATTCAGCCCGTGGTGAAAAAACATCAAGTAACAATACCACACAGCAAAAACTGAATTATGCTTTAAAGAGAGTTTTTAATCTCTGATAGCTTCTAATGAATCAAAAATACGTTTAACCCAAAACTGTACCCAAAGATGGTAAAAATGATCAAGGAGTTTTTAACAATTTTATGGAAAAGCGTATAAAAAGTATAGTAACTATTTGGTGGCACACACCTGTAGTCCCAGCACTTGGGAGGCAGAGGCAGGCGGATCTCTGTGAGTTCAAGGCCAACCTGGTCTACATAGTGAGTTCCAGGACAGCTGGGGCTACAGGGAGACCCTGCTTCAAAACGACAAAAAAAAAAAAAGTGGGGAGGGGGGCAAAATTGTGTCACATACTGTGATAAAACCAGCAGTGCTTAAGAGCAGTAGGCTGCAAATAGTGACCATCAGAGACTTGTAATGGTTGTGCAAAGACTTTAAGAAAATAAATATTTAGAAACAAAAAGACTTAACTGTGATAAGACTGCCAGTAGATCAAGAAGATATAAAAGTGTATGTACCCAGCAATAGAGCCCTGATTTCATGAAGCAAAAGTTGGCAGAATTGAGAGTTTAGGGGGTAGCTCAGTGAAAGTGTCTGCCTCCCATGCACAAGACACTGCAGAAAAATGGTAAGGGAAAGAACTGAATTGAGAGACAGTAAAGTTTGATGTTTCAATACTCTGAATAATGGGTAGGAAATCAGAATGTATAGAAATCTAAACACACGTGGTAAGTGCAGACCATTCTAATAACACCAGAAGCTACATGCATTATAAGATGTATATTCTTCAAGATAGCCGCATGTGGTGCGTCATAAAGCAAGGATGAATAAATTGAAAATGGCTGGGATCATACAAAGTATCCTCTCTGGTAACAATGAAATTAAATTAGGGATCAACAATAGATAAATATTTGGAAATTATTTGTGGTCTAAAGAAGTAAAGAAAATTAGTGATTTGAGCTGGATGAAAATTAAGACATTTAACATAGCAGGTTCTATCTGAAATCGTGGTCTGAAAGATACCTACTTCTTTTGAAGACTATATTGGGAAAAAATGTTCTCAATAATTTGGTTTTAAAAACTGGAAAAAGATGAACAACACACACATGGGAGGAATTAATGGTACTGGAAATCAGTAAAACAGCAGAAAAATAGAGAAAATTGATGAAAATGAAAAATTGATTCTTTCAAAAACTGTTTTACAAAAAACAAACAAACTGGCTGGAGAGATGGCTCAGTGGCTAAGAACAGTGGTGGTTCTTGCAGAAGACCCAGGTTCGAATCCCAGCACCCACATGACAGCTAACAACTGTCTGTAACTCCAGTCCCAGGGGATCCGACAGCCTCTTCTGCCCTCCGCAGGCATTGCACAACATGGGTGCACTGACGTACATGCAGGCAATGCACGTGTACACATAAAATAAAAATAATAAAATTTAAAAACAAATAAAAACACCCAGCCGAAGAAAAACCCCGAAGGAATGACAGTGGGCATATATTGCACTAAATTTTTTTCCCTTTTCCCTTCTAGGGAAGCTTCTTGGGAACCAAGGCCCCAGGCTCACAGACTAACAAAAGACATTTTTAGTTTGGGTTTATGGTAGGGAGTGCAGGGTGTCTTACAAAGAAAGCAAAGAAACCGTAAGGCTAGGCCTTTCTGTTAGCTACCCCCCCTCAAGAAACCATAGAAACCGTAAGGCCTTTCCGGTAGCCCCCCCCCCATGAATTGGATGGAATAAGTGGTTTCTGGGCTACAGTATATGACCAGCCATTGTACAAAAAAAATTAAAGGATTTATAAGGCACTACAAATAACTTCATGCTAATAAATTAGATGGTGTAGACAAACCAGAAAAACTTTGAATCAAACTGACAAAACTGGTTCAAGAAGTAAAAAATTTATTTTTAGTGATAGAACCTTGAAGTCCAGTGTCAAAGAGTTGGCAGAATCTTGCTCCTTGGAGACCTGGAGAGAACATTCGATTTTGCCTCTTTCCAGGCTTCTGGTCTTTGCGGCAAACTATTCTTCCTTGGTCTTCACAGCAACACCTCAGTGTCTGCCTGTGTCAAAACATGATGTCCCTGCAACACACACACAGCCATAGAGGTTGAAGAGTCCACCTTACCCCAATATGACCTCATCTAAACATAACATTTCCAATGATCCTATTTCCAAATAACACATCCCAAATGTAAGAAGTTGGATTTGGGGTTCAAGGGTTCTGTTAAGGCAAATTATCCTTTTGGATAAGAGATTAGAAGAGGTATTAATACCAATGGAAAGCCAGCAGCATGGTGGGAGGTCTGGGAAGCATTCAGGCCACAGTGTGTATTGGCGAGGCGGGGGGTGGGGTGGGGGGGTCTCACAGATTTTAGAGGAAGGAGGAGACTCCATGCAGTGTGGTGATGAATGACTCGTAGCACATCTTATAGTCAGGCTGTCTCTGATTCCCAGGTGGCAGAGGAAAGTGAGAGGGTCTTACATTTTGACAAGGGGATGTATGACCTTGAGGATGTTGGGGAAGTGGGGAAAGAGGGGCCCATTTACCTAATGTGAATCCATCATGGAGGAGTAGCCACTGACAGCTTGGAGTCTGGCAGCCTGGGGACTATACACAGAAACAGCTATGAGGGAGAGACACAGCTGCAGAAGAGGATGACCTTAGCAGCGTCTGGTCTGGCTTCCAGCACCAAGATAGTGCACATTGGGATCTCATCTTTTTCGGTGACATGATTCAGCACATAATAGACCTTTCACAAGTAAAAATTTACTTTGATATTTTAAAATCTGCTCACAAAGA